ATACTCTATGTTTTACATATACAGATGTATGTGCGAAGTTAACAACAGGGCATACCTAAGGGCTGGCTATTCTGCTGTTTTGAGGGGTCACTGCTCCTCTGTGATTAGGAATGGAGAAACCAAAGGTGTATCCCCAGGTGTTAAATGTTTAGAGAGCAAAGGTGCATTTGAATTTTTTGAGATTTTTTTTTTTTCTTTTCTTTTCTTGAAGTTGTCTGTAAATCTTCTGTAAGTGTAGTCTGAACTGCCAGTGACCCACTTGCTGAAAGCACGACATGCTTTGTGCTTCAAATTTGTTTTCTCATCAGGCTAATGGAGGTATTTTTGGTATGCAGCTATAGATGGATGTAGAGCTGGCATGGTACAGTAAATAGCTGGTACACAATAACAGTACTCGAGCAGTCTGGCAGAAATGTAGTGATTTTTAAAATCTTTATTTACAATTTAATTCATCTCTAGGGTTCTTCATGTTGGAAATTCCTTGTCCACAGCCGCCTGGATGCTGGCTTTTATCTCTTGCTTGTCACATATGCTTTAGATCCTCAGACAGTGTTGTCTTGAAATGAGAAGACATGACCAAAAGCATGGTGTTTATTTATATAGCCATAATAACCTGAAAGAAGCAAGCAGTGAATGACAGAAACAGAGATTTATGTTCTCGGGACAGCACTAAGATAGCGTATGCAGGAGCTTAGCTGGAGCTGCTTGACTGGTTTTCTGCCTGTCTTCTGCAAGCAAAACTTGATTTTAACAGTAGAAGTGTTTGCATTAGTTTACTCTGAAAATGTTTGCAGCAACTGTACTCTGTATTGTGAGTCTATGCCATGGTGCCAGTCTGCTGTAAACAAATACAGATATTTACTTGGAAAAAAGTTGCCTTGTACATCTGTTAACCTTCCCTCTGCCCGGGTGCTGCTCTCCCTTGCATGTTAGCATCGCTCTGTCGACACTTGGCCTTTGCCTCTGCACTTGCATACGGCCACACTCTGGGAAGGACGAAGTGCAGAGGGAGTGTTGTCCTCTGCCCCATGGTGGGATTCTGGAGGGAAGTGACTGACCTGCACTGGAGCGATGTGGAGACCTTTGATTGCCATCGTTCTCGGGGTGCAGCGAAGCCAAGCTGTGTGATAGCGACTGCACTGAAAGAAGGAGCTGTTTGTCTGCCTGGCTGCACAGTGCAAATGAGAAGATTGATTATAAATAAACTGGGAAAACAGAATCCTTGCTTCATTTAGACATATGTTTTAAAAATGGCTAGCAAGGGCCTGTCTTGTACCAGATGTCCTAGCACTAGTTTTTGTAAGCTTTGACTTCTTTTTCCTGTCTTGTAACACTCCTCCTTTACAATTACTCTGTGTGCTCTTTTCTGTTCGAGCCTTGGCCCTTGCAGCTGGGGCTCCTTTTGTGCAAGAGGAGCAAGATGAGGTGTTGAGACGTCAAAGGAGTTCTCCAGAACTGTTCAGCAGAGCCGGGCACTGAACCCCGACTGGTTTCTGCTGCTGGGTGAAGAGTAACTCTGACTTTCACCTTAGGGGAGTCACTTGTCTTCTGCGAGAAAAGACCGAGGCTGGGGAAGTCCTTTTGTGTAGACACCTACAAATCCCTTGGGTGTTTCCACCAGCCATGACCCAGAGAGGCTCAGAGGATGTCAGTGCTTGGAGCAGGCTGCGGGGCATCCTTGTGTTGACTGCGACCTTTCTCTTCTCACCTGGGATTGAACAAGTTGCTTCCCTTGCTTAGTCTTTTACTTTTAATGTCAGTATACACTTGACATGACAGTGCATCTTCTAAGAGCGTATCTATCACAGATGCCCACTACAGACCTGCGGGCTTCCTTCCGCTGTCCCAGCAGACCTTATACAGCACACTGGAGCACGTGGGCTAGGGGCCGGTAGGGTTGTTGTTATTTTCCCATTCATTTTATAATCAGAAAATGTCTAAAACTAGAGGAGCTTAGCGCAGAGGGATACAGCTGCTGCTAAACAACCTGATGTAGCAATCAAAGGAGAGGCAGTGACCTTGGAATTCATTTAAATGACTTTTTCATTGGCCTTGAGAATTTAATGGCAATCCTCACAGGATTATTGAAAGGTAGGATAAATAATCATAGGAGGGATGAATTGATTTCCAGTGTGTAAGGCTGACTTCTAATTCATATCTCCCCTTTTCTGCAAGGGTAGGTGGAAGCAGCCTGTAGCATGCAATAGCAAAATTCTCATAAAGATGGCCAGAAAAGCATCATTTATCGTGGGAGAAGCTCTTAAGATTTGTTGTCCCACTTTCAGATTCAGTTTAATGTGGTAGCTTTTTTTTTTCTAGGCTGGCATATTGTGCTGTCCTCTGTCAGGGGTAGAACAAGCATTGCATGATAAAGGTTTGAGGACTTCACTTTGCATTTAAGTGCCTTTAAAGAACCCTGATCCTGCTTCCCCTTTATTTTAAGCCTGAGTGAGTTAGCTTTGTGGCAGGCAGTAGTGCTGTGTCTGTGTGATGTTCATGAAAGAACCTGGAACAATGACATTTCATAGTCCGGATATCTTTCTCCAAAGTATTACTTACATGAATTTCAGATGCTTTGGATTGTTTTTTATTTCCTGGCAAAGTATGCCTAGCTTGCTTGCTTGTTTGTTTGTTTCTCTGCATAGGTTTGTGAAAGCACAGGTTGTTTGATGGTTTTGCTTGATCAGATCTAATATTAATGCTCATGGAATATAGCGTAGATTGTGTGGATAACGGATCTAGAGCACAGTATGAAGCTTGCTCTGGCTGGAGGACACGCTGTGTAAAGCCCATGAAGGTGAAGTTACCCCTGCAAAAAAGTGTTTTTCGGTACAAATTTGAGCTAGCTAATTCAGAGAGGTTCCCAAGCATTTGAGCTGGAACTTGAGATGCCCTTTGTTTAGAAATGAGGAAGAGCAGAAAATGAATAAAGTTCCCTGCTCCTAAAAGGAGAAATAAATCAAGTCGGGCAGGTGTCAAAGGGAACTGTCAGCCCCTTCCACAAAGCCATATGCCTGCAAGTTTTCTGTGGGTGGCAAATAAATCATTTTGCCAGCCTCTTTCATACTCTTAACCAAGACAAGCAGTGCTGAGAAAGTAACTCTTCCTCAGCCTTTTCCAGCTTCTTCCTCAATTCACCTCTGAAGCTGTCACATCAGGTTCCCAGCTTGGTGGCATATGCTCCTACCACTGTGTAAAACCAAGGCAAAGCTTCATCTCCTCCTCCAGCGGAGGTCCTCTCATTCTGTTGCTGCTACCACATTAAAGCATTGGTTTTTTGCTCAAAAGAAGGATGTGGATCTCTTTAATGCTGCAGTTGCTAGGCAGGTGACTAAATGGTATGGACCTTAGCTGGTGTTTGAACTGGATTTTGGTCTGGGATCAACTGTTTGGGTATTTGCTGTAATTCTCAGGTGGGATTTGTAGTCTTTATTCAAATGTATCCACCCTGTTCTATAAACGTGCCCTGAAAGCATTTCGTGGTGTGCTGTGGTGGCTGGAGCTCTGCTGAAGTCCCCGTTTGCTCTAGTGAAGTTACACCTGGATGTCCTATTGCTTCTGGGCTGTGAACGCCCTTTGACTTGTGCTATATAAAACATGGGTGTTTGGTTGAGGTCAGGCTTAGGTTTGCATCTGCTGGCTTCAGCAGTCATCTCGTTAGAGGGAATCAAAGCAGCGGTGAGATTCAGAGTCCTTGGTTTATTTTCTTTTACATGGCGGTGTAAAAATAGCCCCAGCCCTGTTACCCGTACACCTCAGAAATGGCTTTTGCTGAAGCTGTGTTGAAACCGTTTTCTAGCCATATTTTCTGATACAACTTTCAAAAGCTCAGCAAAGTCTGGACTTTCAAGTGCCCGTCTCAACAATAACAGCTGAAGAAAGAAAAGCTGGCTGCTGCTGCAAACAAGAGGAAAAAGTGCGGCGAGGGATTACGTTGAGATTACATCGCACTAGGGCAGGCGAGTGCGGTGCATCGGGGTCGTGCCATGCGCCTTATTACAGCTCTCTGCGTCCCCGCTCTGCACCCAGGAGCCGGCCCTTGCCCTGCCTGGGTGTCGATCTCGGCCGCTCCGTCCCTTTGTGCTGACCCTGCGGGGTCTGCAGTTGTGCTGGTCCCTTGGGGGCAATAGCAGGGGCGAGGAAGGGGCTGTCCGGGAGGCCCAGCATTGCCCCATAGGTACTGAAGAGTAACTTCACGTCGTGGCAGGAACCTCACCTGGTCCTGAAAGTTCATCTTGCCTGGAAGCAATTGCACCGACTGAAAGCAGTTTAATTTACACCCAAATAATTTATTTTAAATCTGCTTTTCTCACTCATGCATTCATTTTACTTTATCGTAATGTCAGCACTTAGCAGCGAAGTAATGGCAGATCTCTGGAGAACTTCGCACAAGCGAGAAAGCACCATTATCTCGGTTTTACAGGCCCTACTTATGTTGAGAACATATGTGGTGGTGTAATTACACTGATGTGATGAAATCAGTGCAAATCCTTGCTAGAGGGACATGCTGCACCGCTGTAAAGCGGGGCTTATTATCAGTGCGGTTTAATTCAAATTACATTACTCAATTAAGCTGTGCCAGTATAAGCCTCTGCTTAAAGTCAGGAAGTCACGTGAGGGCCTGTGTTGTTTCTTTTTAAAGCAGATAAAGATTTGGAAACTGAAATGGGTGAGGTTGTGCCTCGCCCAAGAGCATGCTAGAAGCGATGGTCTTGACAAGTACTGTGTTTATAGTACTTTCTGGGAGGAAAGAGGTGTGGGTGCAAATTCAGGGGTTTTATTATTATTTTTTAATAGATTAAATTCTTTGTTTAAAGCATAGTGACCACTTTGGAAAAGATCCTAAATCATTCTAAGGCTTTACAAATAAATTAAGTAAAAAGCGTACTAAATTCTAGTAAATCTCTACCACATGGTTTTGGATTTTGATAATGGCTAGATGGGTCAATGAATAACCATGGCGTGTACAACTTAATTGGATTTTTCTTTTTTTTTGGCAGGGTGTGGGCACTGTAAGAAAATGAAGCCAGAATATGAGAAGGCTGCAGAGTTTCTCCATGTAGCCAGTGATGTAAGCTAATTTCCTTTATTATATCCTTCAAATAATCAGTAATAAATAACTGGAGTAATAAAAGTGACTTTTCTCCCTACAACAAATTCAGCTGTTCTCATCCTCCCACAGGACCCTTCAAAATGTGCTTCCAAAGTACAGTCTCATCACTAATGCATGAACCCTGCCAAAGTCTTAGAAAGAACATTCTGTCTTGAACGAAAACAAAATCGAAAAATGTTTATGTATTATGCTGTAGGCCTTATACATAATATGATCAAATCCAAAATGCTTTTTTTTAATCTTACTTAAAGGCATCGAATGTGAAGAAACATAGGCTTTTATTTATGAATTAGATTTGGAAAAAAAAACAAAGAGGGTTGATCCCTCTTTCAAATACCCTGGTTTTATGGTTGCATCACTCCATTAGCTTCATCTTAAGTGCCCCATCAGCATGGCTGGAGAAGAGAGATCCAATAACATAAGTATTAGTGTTATTGATTCAGTCTCACACTGTGTATGCCATGCAGGAGGAGAAGTAGGATTAGTCTCCCCCATACTTCAGTGGAGACATCTGGAGTCCCTTTGTAGTTGTTGGAGAAGGAGTAGGAGATGAGAAAAACAAAGATCAGATGAATCACACTCTACAAGTGTCTGTTCTTCTTTGACTCTAAAGGTGGTCCATGTAAAGATGCCTGCAAGTTAGGGAAAAATTAATTTGGCTTGAAGTAAACTTGTCTTTAACAATGTTCCTTTCTTCTGGGAGAAATTGGGATTTGTGGGAGGAAATGCCATTCCTAGGAACAGCTCTTAAGCATTATAAAGTGAATTATATACAGGGAATCCTGTCAGAAATGGGAGGAGAACAGTTACATTTAGTCCGTAAGATGTCTCTTCCTGGTTTTGCAGCAGTCCTCCATGTTTTTCTGTGTGTCTGTGCTGAGTACCTGAGGAAGTGAAGGCACCTAGTGATTGACCCCAAGTCCATCGTGTCCTGCCAAAGGAGTGTGTGTATGTTGCTGGGATTTACAGTTAGTGATCTCTGTTTTAGAGTCCAGGTGTCCTTGCAGCAGTTGATGCTACCGTCAACAAGGCGCTGGCAGAAAGATATCACATCTCAGGGTTTCCTACTTTGAAGTATTTTAAGGATGGAGAGGAGAAATACACTCTGCCACATCTCAGAACAAAGAAGAAGATCATCGACTGGCTACTAAAGTAAGTTTTGAGGGTCTGAGATAGTATTCAGGTTCCTGGTTACTGGCTCCTGAAGACAACTTTGGTGAGGAAGTAAGTCTTAAACCTAGCTTCATTGACTGCCTAAATCCCATGCTAACAAAAGCAAACTGAATTTCAGTATTCAAAGCCATACAAGCATGTATGTTAATTATGGTCTCTAATACACCAAATCCTTTATTTGCTGCAGGGTTTTTCATAGTTGTCCCAGTATTTCTTTCCCAAAATAAATATTTTTTCAAATATACCCTAAGCCTCTCACCAGAGACGGAACAGCAATGGCTCTGAAAAATAAACAGAACATTTGTTGTCCCCTCTTTATACTAAGCAGCAGATTTCACTGTTAGTGACTGAATTTCTGCACTTGTACTTTTTTCTTTCCAGCATTTCAGAGCCAATGCCTAGAATACCAGCTACATGGGGCTGAAGGAAAGCCAGCGAGACCAACAAAACCAGCACCTTTGTATGCACTAGCCACCTTTTCTTGGGTGGTATGCTAAAATATGCAGAATTAAGTTTGACATATGATGAAGATAATTTCATTTCAAATAAGTAAATTGCTGGTACAATTCTTTAAGTATTCTGGAATAAACTATGCATTTCCTTTAGGTACTGTAAGCCTAATGCATTTTCTGCATTATTCAATGGGAAAAAACTGCCAGTATTTTGTGAAGTTTTTAAATCATTGAACCGTTAAGTGCAGTTGACATGAAGAATATAATCTTAATTTTTCGCCTCTTATTTGGTAGGGGGAGGGGAGGGTTGTGTGGTGGGGTTTTGGTTGTGTTTTTTTTTTTTCTTTTCATTTGAAATTGCATCTCTGAGTGCTTCAAATCAGGTAATAGATATGGTCTGACAGCATCTTTGTAGCATGTTGGGAAGTTTTATCTATATTTTACATTACATTTTACATTACAGTGCTCCCTTGGCCTCCCAGCATGCTCACACTCCATGCTACTGTGTCAATACTGGATGTTAAGTCACTGTCCAAGTCTCACCAGTTTGCTGGAGTATTTTGGAGCGCTATGTAATTTATATTGTCAGGTTGATGCTACCTGTACATATTGGCTGGTGAATAAGCAATGAGGAAGAGGGAAGGGGTGTCAATCCCTTCTCGATCCTGCTGTGGCTCTGGAAGACTTTTGTCTGCGGCCTGAGGTAGTCACCAACACAGGGGAAACCCGGACAACTTGTCTTCTGCTCTTGACTGCTGGATGTTCTCCCAACTAGATATGCTATAGAGTAAGATCCTTATTTACTGACTGGGGATAAAATTGTCACAGCTGCAGTGAAGTTGGTGGAAATAGGGATGCATCTGGGGTGCAGGCTGGAGATAAAAGTACAGCTTGTGTAAACCTATCCCAATGAGTGGTCTGTTTGCAGCCATGCGGGTTTCTGCTCCGATCCCTCTGTGGTGACCATGGGCTGTGCTGCCACTCGAGATTGTTACCAGTATCTGGCTAGCTTATTTTAGGTCAGCATGGGAAGGTCTGCGTGAGATGAAATCACACCTCTGACTGTAACTGTAATCGATGATAGCTCACACCAACTGTGTTCGTGTGAAAATTCAGACCAGCTGCCCTAATTCTTTTGCTAACAACTGGCAAATCAGTATCGATGGAAATACGATGGATGTCCACCAAGTGACCTTGAGTAGATCTTTAAAAATCGAGTTTTCCTCCACTTGGTTTTTATGTACCTGATACAACTTAAAATGGTGTCATTCAAAGTGACAGGAAAGTCTGAAAACCTAATTTATTACCAAGGCGGCATATGAAGGTCTTTATACCGTGGCACCATTCTGATGATTTTATATAAGTAATCACTATTTAAGATACAGGAGGAATGAATTTAATGAGTCTGAGAGAAGTCTGTGAGCTGGTGAATAGCAGAAGTTTTGTTAGAGGCGCTCTAGATGTGCGGGATTGCTCTGATCTAGTCAGTATGTGCAGTCATAATTGAAACCTGACATTCTCTTTATCAAGGTAAAATATTCCAGTTCAGTCACCCCCTGTCTTCCAGTTGGAACGATGCTGATTATTGCATCCTGGCTTTTTAATATCTGAATTCAAGAGAAGGTCATGAAATTCTTTATAGAAGTTTGCATGATAGCGATAAAGAGTACAAAAAGGATGTTTGAATGGAAGGTGCTGTTCTATATTGGTTGCCTTTTGATTCCACCTGCTTGCTGTTCTTCTCAATTCATGCCTATGGATGACACGGTGATACAAGAGCAAAGTTTTTTCCACCTAGATCTTGTATACAGTGTAGGAAATCTTTATTCTGCGTTCCTACTCATATGCCTGAGTACAATCGCTTAAATTATATTTTTATTGAGTTCCAGAAATTAACTTGCATCTTTTTGTTGTTATCTGATGTTGGAAATATCGAGCACATTTTTCTACTGCACAGGCACCTTGAAGGATTGTTCTACCTCAGTTCCCTCATGGTAGCTCTGACCATGACGTGATGGCCCTTTGCCTGCTTCCAGAAACATTTTCAAACCAATCTCGTTTCCTTTCTTTTCTAGTCCTGAAGCACCACCTCCACCTGAGCCTGCATGGGAAGAAAAACAGACTAGCGTTATCCACCTTGCTGGAGAAGACTTCAGGGAGTCCTTGAAGAAGAAGAAGCACACCCTTGTCATGTTCTATGCACCATGTGAGTAAATACCTCTCTACGTGGATGGGTTTTATAAACCCTACAGTTTACGAAATCCTGAGTTTATACCCTCGCTATCCCCAGACTTTTAAGAGTAAAGAGCTGATTCTGAACGTAACTGCGTGGGACCATCATTGACACCATCGTTTGCATCTTTATAAATAGAAGCAAAAGAGTATACAGTGTTTATTTAAAGAGTTATTGCGTTAATGCAGACACCAAAGCAGGCAGGGGTACAAAAGCAAAACAGATTTATTTTCCTCTGCTGCATTTTATGGTCCATCTAACAAAATGTTATCCTTTGTAGTAGCACAATGGACATGGAGAGCCCGACTCATTAATGCAGCACTTCAGTAGTGAAATCGATATAGTGATGTAGGAGGAATCAGTCCTCAGAGGCTGAGAACAAATTTTGATGGAATAACTTGTCTGTAATAAATCTACATTTAAATCTCCACTGGGAACATGGGCATAGCTTCCTCCTCCCTGATTTTTTTTGTGTGCGTCAGACGCACGCTTTCTTTTTGAACCTTCTGAGAGTATTTCTAGAGAAGTTTTGAATCAGGCCCTTTATAAAATAGGTGAATGGGAGGGACCTCTTCTGTTTTCCAGTGTTGTCCCAGAGACAGGCAGACTTGTTACAGGTTCTTAACTTTTGAGGCATCTGTCAAAGGGAGAACATAATCCTGGCACTTAATATTAGATAGTATTAACTTGCTTTTATAGCACCATGACTCAGCCCCCCCTAGATGCAAGAAAAATTCTTCCCTCTCACATGGTGAGCCCTGCAATTAATGGATAACCTTCAGATAAGCAGTTACTAATTTGTTCCATTAAACTGAAGGTATTTTCCAAAAAGGGAAAAAAAGCTCAGGTCCTTAATGTTTAATCAGGCAGCCCCTTATTTTGCTTTTCTGTTAAGAGAATTAAACGTGAATGCTTTTGGGCTCCCATGAAGCCCTGCTGGATGTGGGAGAAGGGAGGGGTGCAATTCAGAAGGGAGACTTCTGGAAGGTTGTAAAAGAAAAGGGAAGGGGACTTAATCCCTTCTCAACTCCAGTTCCCACCACCTATTGATTAAAAATTGCCTATGTGCCAGGAATTTCTGATTCATGGACCTCAACTGGTTAAGAGAAAGCTGTAACTTTAAAATCAAGATTTAGGATTTTGCTGTCTCTTGAGTTCTCTTTACCTGATGAGTGACTTTCTGTGGGAGAGAGAGATTTATTTCCCTTTTGGTTTTTAGGTGCATCTTTTTAAGGCACTTAAATTCTTGGGTCTTTTTTAAGGCCATGTTTAAAGCAAAGACAATTTGTGCAATGATAATTATGATACCGTTGTTTGCAGGTTGACGTCTACCCTTACTCCAGGGGGGGTGAATAAAGATCAGCCTGACCCTGTCTGTTCAAACAGGCTGTAAAAGCAAGGCTTGCATGATCTAAGACTGTTGGATCCTTTGAGGCTGCCCTTCAGACACATTCTTCTTGCACTGTTTTGGATTTAGTGCTACAGGAGACCACCTATATACAGGACAGTGAGGTGTTAACTGGAACCACTTCTGGCCTTACTGTGACTCCTAAGTTGCGTTGTCAGTATGTGGGTCATGCACAGTTTCTGATTTGTCAGATTTGCTCTGTCTAATTGTGGAAGAGTCTATGTGCACAGCAGAAAGCAGGCACACAAAAGTGAGTGCAACGAGCCTGCCCTTTGGGTGCAGGGGAAAGTCGCAGATGAACATTTTAAATTTCTGGTTTCTGTGAAATAATCATTAATGCGATAGAATGGTACAAATCATTCTATTTTTCAGCTTTTCTGCAGTGATAATGTGCCTCCTGCTAAATTTGATAGATTAGCTTTTGTTTACCATTTTCTCAATCTTGAGACCTCTTGGAGCTTACATTGCCAATTAATCTTAACTTGCTTATTTTAGTGCAGAAGGAACACTGCTAAAATTGCCAGGCTCTATTATATCAAATAATTTTCTTTTTCTATTCAGATCCACATCTTAGGTCAGTGCAGGCTCACAGTATGTTATTCCATTCACTTGTGACTCTGACAGTATTTGTTACACTTACACATATGCTGAGATATTTTAAGATTGGGGGTGTGTGTATACATGCATATATAAAGTATGTTTATATATAAATATTTATGCTAAGAAATGTATCTCTCATCTGTCATTAGAATTTAAAGCAGAAAGTTGAATATTCTGACCTTTGTAAAGCTTTCAGCCAGAGTGACAAACCTTTAGGCAAAGGCCACAGATATATATCTTACATGCAAATTAAAATGAGATCTGGCTTTTCTGTGGCAACTTCCTGTCCAAATTACTTAATATGTATAGGAGAACCATCAATCTGCTGCTATGCCAATAACTCTGGACCGAGCTGAGCGGTGCTTTAATGGTACTGAACAGTGCTTCACAGTGATTTAGCTCTCAAAGAGAAGACTGCTACATCCGTGTGGAAAAGATGGGGAACTTATTACTCCATTACCCAGAATGTGGGTGAAGCATAAAGGTTATTCCTGATGCCTGTGGAATATTTTAAGGACTGAGAATCAGAATCAACACTCTTGAAATTACTGGGAAAAATATCCACTCCTGTGGACTTGACACCCACAGAGAGTGATGTTCCTGATTTCACATTCCTGTTCCTCCCCAGTGGCATCTCTGTGTACTGTAATGACTGATAGGCGGCAGCGGTAGCGGCAGGTCCCCAGTACTGACTTGGGACAAAAGTGCCAGCTGCCGTAAAGGTAATGCTACATGTGCCAGTAACTGCCTTGGACCTGATCTTCACCCGGGTGTCCACTGGGTAGGTCTGTACCCTCTGTGGCCACCATGCTGTGCAGGCTTATGGTGCAGGCTGGTGCTTGGAGCAGGCTGCTGGCCTCTGTGATGCACAGCACCTGGCCCCGCTTTTCTCTGGACCTTTGTGGGGTTCTTGTGGTCCTAAGATGTAATTGTCATCCCACTCCCTTACCTCTGAGCTCAAAATTCCTAAAATAAGAGGAGGACAATGATACAGTCTGCTAAAGTGAAGATGATGCCACGGATGTGTGTTGTGTTCTGGGGACTACCATGAGGGGTTTGAGGAGCTTTTGACAGCAGTAGGCTTATTGCAGCAACATTTGGGAGGGTTTATGGGATCTGTGTCTGTATTATCCGTAGACCAGTCCTTGGACTACTGGATACCGCCAGCTACTCCAGGTTTCATTTTGTAACTGCTTGGCTTCATCCAGAAATGGGGAGAGGAGACAGCTAGTCTGAGTATGGTTTGGTGTACACACATAGCCTGGTATGTGGATGATGAGGATTTGGGGGGCTGTGGACCAAATCTGGAAGTGAGACAAATGGACAAGAATAGATCCAGCCTAGCCCAGTTAAACTGCAATGCTTAAGCAGCTATGGCCAGAAGTACACTAGCTGCATGTCTGTAGTTTACTTCCAGAGCTTGTTTCAAGACTCACAGCATCAAATGCCTAGCATCCTGGACTGACCAGTTTGCCTCAGTGCCTCTTCTGGGGTCAACACACTGCTTTTTCTTTGTTCTTTCTCTTATGTCCTCACTGTTTGTTCATGTAGCTTATCTGAATGTGTTTTATCTGCATTTTTGCTTTTATGTGCTCTCTCCACTCCGTTATCCCAGATAACTGAGATTTGACTTTGCCAATGCATTAAGTTTTGACCTCCTACTACTATAACACTGAAAACTGTGCAAAATAGGAGTTGGTTGTGATTAGTTATCAGAATCACAAAGGGCAACAAATCTCCAGTAGATAACATGTCTTTTCAGTTGGAGATTTTTTTGGTGAATTACTGAAACTGAATGAAGGGAATAAAGAAAAGTGATTGAAGCCTGGTGAACATTTTTCAGTGAAAGAGGAAGATGCAGATAGTTCTTCAGGAGTGTGCTGTGTTTTTAACGCGAACTTCTGTCCAGAGAAGCCCTTGGAGTCCTACATGGAATTTCTTGTTGAGCCAGTGCGAAGACCCATACCAAGTTAATGACTGTCTGTAATTAATTCTGTAACTGAAACTCATGTGGTTCCCTCTTCTGCCTTGTTCAGCCCTGGGATTTAATATGCCTTTTTGGTGTCATAATTTGGTGATGTGACCATGAAGTTTTAGCTATTCTTGGGTGATGTTCCTTCAAACTTATGCTAGGTCTTTTCTGGTCTTGTAGAAACAATTCAGAGATGGGGATGCAGACTCCATAGATGGGAATCCTTGATTGCAAAGGCAGAGCATCTCAAGCAGGTCAGAGGAGCTGATTCTTCCCCTCTGCTCAGCACTGGTGAGACACAGTTGGATTGCTGTGTCCAGTTCTAGGCTCCCCAGTATAGAAAGGATGTTGACATACTGGAGCAAATCCAGTGAAGGGCCATGATGGTAATTAAGGGTCTGGAGCATCTGACATATGAGGAGAGGCTGAGAGAGCTGGGACTGTTCAGCCCAGAGAAGAGGAGGATCAGGAAGATCTTGTCAGTATGCATAAGTGCCTAATGGGGGCGGGTAAAGAAGACAGAGACAGACTCTTCTTTGCAGTGCCCAGGGGCAGGACAAGAGGCTATGGGCACAAGTTGAAACACAGGGAATTTTGCTTAAACATAAGAGGAAGTGTGTGTTGGTTTTGTTTTGGTTTTTTTTGCTGTGGGGGTGGTTGAACACTAGAACAGGTTTACCAGAGAGGGTGTGATGCCTCCATCCTTGGAGGTATTCAAAATCGAACTGGACACAGTGCTGGGCAACCTGCTCTAGTTGACCCTGTTTTGAACAGCAGAGTTGAACTAGATGATCTCCAGAAGTGCCTTCCAACCACAGCAATGCTGTGTTTCTAGGGATAGTAACACTGGAGTTTTAAATACACAGTATTTTTTTGTTTGGGGGGTTGTTTTTGTTTTGTTAGTTTTGGGGTTTTTTACCGTTCCCATCGAGTTCTGATTTTCTCTAAATAGGAAAGGCTTAATAACACCCACTATTAATTCTTGCACAGAAA